TCTTATTCTAGTCATACGGACTTCGAGCATGAATCTGAATTTTGTTTCAAATTTATCCGAGGAATAGAACTCAGTTACCTATAGTTTATTGTTTGGTTCAGATGAATATCCCAATCTTTAATCATTTTAAATATATCATTATTTAATTCATTTCGATCTGTGCTAATGATTAATACTTCAGGACCAACATTCAAAATATGCCCTAAGATTCCGCCAGACTTATATCTTATTTCTAGATTCGTATTGCTTTGTTTCATTAACATCCTGAAATGAAATATATATGATATATTTACAGATATTTGACATCGATTAAAAACTTTCTACCGAAACTGTTCAACATAAGTATCATTGATCAAATAAGGTCTTAATTCTTTTGCTTCAGCAAGATTTCCCTACAAGAAAAAAGAATTATTTGTTTTTGTATAATTTTAGTTAATATCACTTTACCTATCAAAAGGTCAAGAACATTTCTTACGACCTCAAATCTTTCACCAAACACTGTTAAACAATCTACAAATGCTTGCAGATCATTATTATCTTCAATAAATTTTCGACAATTCTCGGCTGTTTCATCTGTTATATTCCACAATACTGTCCAAACTAGTTCGAGTAAATCATCACTTCCGTTTTTATACGTGTTTGCATCAAATATATCATCAACTAAGCAAAAAATCCACAAAGTTCAATGAGTAAGATATGAAGAAAAAGAAAAGAAATAATAAATTTTTGTCAATTTACTTCAATAGTGCCCAGAGATCCGATTTAATTTTTCTTCATGATGAACACCACAAGCGATATAATTCAACAGGTTAATTACACTATGCAACAGTAACGCATCATAATTGGCATTTTCATACTGATGTAATTTGAGTAATTTCAGCAGAATATTGACACTTTTTTCAAATACAAACATCTGAAAATAAATGATGCAAACATAAAACTAACGCATCATTGAAATGAATCTTAACGTACAATATCGTTTGGCAAGTTTAATTTCGAAATTGTTAATATTCCATTACGAATTGTCTTAAAATATTAAATGTAGTAATATTCAAAAAACATTTCTTCTACAACAAAGTAAACATACTGATACATCTCTAGGATGAACATTAATGGCATTTAATAAATCAATAATAATACGCTGTAGATAAGATATATCCAGATCGGATCTGACATTGGGTCGGAAATTTATAGATGATATAGTGTAGAGAAGCACTAAATCAAAAATAAGTAGCGAACATTTCTTGAGTAAATCATTACTCATCAAGATAAGTTAGCTACCTGACAGATGTTTGAAGTCGTGACTATAAATATGGTTCTCTGCATCCATAATAAGCTGGACACATAAACATAGTAAGTTTTCTTTTTGATGCGAAGAATCGTTGGAAATAGATCAGCAGTCTGATTATGCTACAACTTCAAATGTTTAATTCTTATAATACTATCAAAACAAAACCATAATTCTACAATAACTAATATAAACTAACCTAGAGAGGCGAAATAGTCTGCATTTAAACTTGAAAAGATGTTCATACCTAAAATTCGTTTACAGTTCATTCCTCTCGATTCTGAGGTAGTTAATGGATCTAAAAATTTTCTTTTAATACAGCAACTTTTAAGTTTCGCTATTTTCTCTTATTTCTTGTCCTTTTGTTCAAAAATAAATATATAAAGCAACCTTTTCGCCGAGTTACTGTGCACTTATCCATATATTTAGATGGACATGGCCTATTTAAGAATAAAAAATACAGTGTGACCTAATTTGAAAGGACAGAAAAGGAAAAAAGCTACTGCCACAGATTCTTCAAACAGAAATAAAAAGAAAAATAGTATTGTCGGTAAAAAAAAAGAATGCACTCGGATGTTTTTTGAATAACGTTTGATAGAAAAGTGGTAGATGCTTGCGGTCTTCACTAATCGAAAGCTAGGACCTAAGTGCAGCTTTTCACAATGAAAGTCATTTTCAAGATCTTTCCTTGAAGCAGGTTTTT